ACTGAGCCTCATTCTGTCACCCAGATTGTAGTACAGTGGTGCCATCATAGGTTACTGCAGCCTCAACTTCCTGGATTCAAGCGATCCTCCCAATTCAGCCTTCTGAGTAGCTGGAAGTACAGATGTGGTATGCCACAACACTTGGCTAATTTTTAAATTTTTGGTAGAGATGGGGGTCCTACTATGTTGCCCTGCTGGTCTCAAACTCCTGGGCTCAAGCAATCCTCTCACCTCAGCCTCCCAAAGTTCTGGAATTATACACATGAGTTATGGCCCCTGGCCAATTCATTCTTTACCTGATTAATTTTTATCATCATCACTATCACTTTTTCCAATAAAATTGGACTCTATAAAAAAATCCTCTTAATTTTTCTACATACTGATCACAGCAAACTTTTACAATCTCAGCACCCAAAGAATTTTTCTTCCAAATGACTTCTAGAGCTATGGGTCAACAATCTATGGAGAGGAGCTAATCATTTCTCAATTTCTATAATTAATTAATAAATAGCTTTTTGGCTGGGCACGGTGGCTCAAGCCTGTAATTCCAACACTTTGGGAGGCCAAGGTACTTTATCACTTGAGATCGGGAGCTCAAAACTAGCCTGGCCAATATAGTGAAACCCATTCTCTACAAAATACAAACAAAAATTAGCCGGGCCTGTAGCCTCAGCTACTCAGGAGGCAGGGGCAGTAGAATCACTTGAACCCAGGTGGAGGTTGCAGTGAGCCGAGATAGAACCACTGCACACCAGCCTGGGTGACAGAGAAAGACTCTGTCTTAAAACAACAACAACAAAAACTTTTCGTCTATTATTTTTTCCAAGGTAATGTGTTTATATTCTCATTTAATTATATTGATGTGAAAAACTTCACAACAGCACAACACCTATAAGAATAAATCAGCAGTATAAAGCTGAATGACAGAGGCCCAGTATTTCCCTGTAAAAAATGCCCAATAACTGATGATCTACGTTTGATTGTAAGATTAGCCTTTACCAGATACAAAAAAAAAAAAGCCCTCCTAAGTTTAAATGGTAGCAGTTGTTTGTTCTGTTTTGTTTTTGAGACAGAGCCTTGCTCTGCCACCACGCTGGAGTGCAGTGGCGTCACCTCAGCTCACTGCAAATGGTAGCCAGTTTTAATTGTGCCCTTGTGTTCGGTATGCTTCCAGAGAAGACTATTAAGCAGAAAATGAGTTAAGTGAACTTCAAGAATGTGATGTTTATACTTATTCTAATAAAATCCACTTACAGTCTGAGTAAATAAATGGAAAATATGACTTTAAAAATAGTAACATTTTCGTGATTTTTTTTTTCTTCTCAAATATTCTATTTAGGTCCAAAATAAGGAAAATATTATCATCAATTAAGTTGGTTAATCCAAACAGTGGCATGTAAAACCACCTTAATATTATTATGTTCAAGCAATTATTCTCAGAATTTTAAAATTTGTTCCAGTAGTTTATCCTGAAACAAAAACATGCTTTACAATATAATGCTATGGCACGTACAACTCTGTTCCAGCGTTAAGTCTGGCTCTTAAACACAAGACCCCCTAATCAAACTGTATATAGCTGTCTATGAAATAAATACTGACTCAGAAATCTACCCATTGGGACAAAAATATAGGTATGTTTATTAACTTAAGAAATAATTGTAGCTGCTGAGGTCTAATTTGGAAATAACTATTAATACCAAAAAGCACAGACTCCCAATGAAAACCCCAAATCAGAAAATTAATATATCCTGAATAATTCTTCATAATTAAAAATATTAATCTTTATAGAATAACTGCCATATGCCCATCATTTAATTCTGGCAAGAATTCCATGAATTAGTTTTTATATGCCAGGCGTGGTGGCTCATGCCTGTAATCCCAGCACTTTTAAGGGGTCAAGGCGGGCGGATCACAAGGTCAGGAGTTTGAGACCAGCCTGGCCAATATAGTGAAACCCTGTCTCTACTAAAAACACAAAATTAGCCAGGCATGGTGGTGCGTGCCTGCAGTAGTCCCAGCTACTCGGGAGGCTGAGGCAGGAGAATCGCTTAAACCCAGGAGGTGGAGGTTGCAGTGAGCCGAGATCACACCACTGCACTCCAGCTTGGGCAACAGAATGAGACTTCATCTCAAAAAGAAGCTAGGAATACTGATGCTCAGGGAAAGCATGTGACTTGCTCAGAGCACAAAGAGGGGAGTTAAGAATTGAATTCAGTCTCTTAAAGTCAGAGTGCTCTTTCCAAATATCAAATGAACCCAGAGTGAGCAGAGTGGTGTGAAAGTGCCATTTACCTACTAGCAACAATAAAGAAAATTAGTTTCATAAAACATTTAAAATTATTTGAAGCCCATCAGTATATACACTGATAGGCTTTGAATAAAATGTATTCATAGCCAGTCATTTAGAAGGTAACCCAAATCTAGAGAACACTCTTGTATCATCATCGTTTTCACCTATTAAAAAAGAGACTGTCCCGACAATCACTTCAACACTCATTACTTTTTATCATCCTCACTTGGGATAGGAGCTCTAGCTGAACTCCAAATGGTTAGTAAGTATCATTTTGCATTGTCCTAAAGGGGAGGGGAGGAACAGAAATTACGTCTCTGTATCCTAATAATTAGACATTCTGTTTCTCCCCAAGAAAATACAAGTAAGCTCTATTAATAATCTAACATAGAAATCCAAGGTCTGACACAAACACAGTATTATGTCAGCGAAAAAACTGACGAACTGTTAGGAGAAAAACAAAAAGGCAGGCCCCTTTCAAAGTCCGTCCAAAGCCTGAACCGAGAAGGGTCTGGGGCAGGGTGGGGAGAAGGAAACGCGCTCCACTCCGAGAGGCTCCAGCAAGGGCGCCTCCATATGCGGAACTCTCGCCCAATCCCCGCACAGGCTGAAATCCCGTGACCGCCGGGGAGCCTGTTTGGAGAAAAGTAGACAGGGAGCCCGCAAGCTGGGTTGGCAGAGGACGCTGGAACCTGGCTGCTCGGGGAGAAAATGTCTCCTTGGCAGCTGCAGCCACTGTCCTGTGGTCTAACTTCCCAGGGCTGGCTGGCGAGCGAGGTGTGCCAGCCGCTGGCGTCTCCCCACCCCCTTCCCCTACCCATTTCTCTCCGCAGAGCTGCCGCGACCAAAGCTGCACCACCTAGCCAAAAAGAAAGAAAAGAGACAATCCCGGGTGCGCGCGGGCCGGCTGGGCTCGCCCTCGTATTCGCCGGCCGGTGACAGCCGCCCCGGCCTCCGCCGCCCGCTAGCAGAGCGCGGCCCTCTGCGCCGGGGCTGACGAGGTGGCAACTGACATTTGCACGGTTCGTCCACACAGCCCGCACGCCCGCTCCTCCAAGCCCGCGGCCTCGGACCCCGGACTCCGCCGAGGGCCGTCTCCCTCTGCTCACCCGACCCTGCTCCAGCTCAAGGGCCAGGAAGGCGATGCCACCAGCGGGCAAGTGGCCTCCGAAGGGAACCATGTTAACCTTGCAATGCACACATCTGCCCACACGCCCAGTGTCACAGCCCGGCCAAGCCTGACAGCCTCCCCGCCGCGGATGCCTGCCCAGCCCAACCACGCATCCCCTCCTGGACCTATGCCCGGACCCCTAGCCCGTCCACCCCAAACCAAGCCCAGGAAAGGGGAGATGGGATTTTGTTTAGGCAAATACATCTACCTGGATCAAATTCAGGGATCCGAGCTTGGTATTCGGCTCCGACTCTCATCCCAACATCTGCAAAGCAATGCCAAAAAATATATATGTAAAATAAAAAAGAAAAAAAGAAAGAAAAAGGAAGAGACACTTAATAAAAAATAAAAATCGCTGGATGGAGGAAAAGAAGCGGCGGGTGGATGGGAAGATACTAACTCGGGGCACTCCGGGAGATGGAAGCGGATGGGGGGCGGGGAACGGGGGGGGAGCAAGGGCGGAGGATTGGTCGAGGGCGGAGGGACGGGGGTCGCGGGGGTGCTGCTGCACTGCACCGGGAGTTCGAGGCTACCGCAGCGCCCGGGCTCTGAGGGGAGGGAGGGCGGGAGAGCGGCGAGGGGAGGGGGCTGGGGGAAGGGAGGAGGGAGGGGGGCAGGCGGGCTGGCGGGGAGGAGTTCGAGGCTACCACCGTGCTCGTCGTCGCTGCTGCAGCCGCTCTCGGGCTCCGAGTAGTGCAGCCCGCCGTTGGTGGACGAGGCGCCGGTGCCGCCGCCGCCCGCAGGGCTCTTGGCGCTCCCGTTGGCCGATCGGTTCTTCCCCAGTAACTCGGGCCCTTTCTCCATCATGCCGGGCATGGTAGAACAGGGGAGGGGGAAAGGTGAGGGGAAGAGGTAGGCGTCAGGGTGAAGGGGGGATGGCTTAGAGCGCGGGCGGGAGCGAAAGGAGGAGGAGGAGGAGACGCGGCGGCGGCGGAGGAGGAGGAGGAGGCTGTTAATATGGAGCCGCCATAACCGCCCCGCTCCGGCAGTAGCGCAGTCGCCTCACAACAACCCGCCCCGGCCCCGCCTCTCTCCCCTCCTCCCTTCGCCGCCGCCCGCCCCGCGCAGTCCCGGGCGCCCCTCTCGGCCGCGCCGCGCTCTACGCAGCCGCCGGTATCACTCCGCTCCGCAGGGAGGTTCCGGCCGCCTGGGGGGAGGGGAAGGGGGGAGAGGCGGGGAAACCCCGCACGCCGGCAGCCGGGCCACCCCAACCGAGCGCTAATAAAATCGCCGCCGAGGCGTGGCCGCCGCTCGAGCTTTCTTCCTAGGGGGCGCTCCGGAGCACGGGCGGGAGGTGCACGCGAGGAAGCGGGACTCTTTGCCCTCTCTGCGCGGAAGGAATGCGGTCATCCTGAGAAAGGGCGGGCGCGACCCGACCGCGAGACTCTGGGGAGCGGACCCCTCTGCGGACACGACTGCCGACGTGCGTCGGAGCGCGGCCCTTCTGCGATGTAGCTCAATTCCCCGTTGTCTGCCGGCAGCCTCGAGCTGGGGGCGCGCTCTGGCCCGCCTTGTAGTCGCTCAGTCTTGCGGGGCAGCCTTGGGGTTCTTAGGCCCAACCGGCGAAAGTAGACTCGGCCCTAACCATCTTGACGCTGCAATTTTTGTTTCTGGATATCTGAACTGGGGCCTGATTCCCTAGAGAGAGTCTGGGGATGAGTTTCCCGGCCTGAGGGTAGCACGTGTATTTTGCTGAAGCCTCTCTCCCCAGTCCTAACCCTACTGTCTTCTTAGTCCCACCTTTTTTTTTTTTTTCTGTTTTAATAGCTGGGAAGTGAGTGCTGTGAGTGGGGAAATAAGCTGAACATGAATCCTGGCTCGGTAGTCGCGTTTTCAGTTCTCGCAGACCTGCGGTCTCGGCTTGGAGCGATCGGGGAGAGGGCGGAGTCCCCCGGCGGAGGTGAAGCGAGTTCTGTGTTCTGGCAGCGTTTCCAGCCTGGAAGAAGATGCGCTCTGTAATGCTTTTCTGAATTGCATTCGGCGAAAGGAATAGGGAACTGCGTTTATTCCTTCACCAGATTTGAGGGCGTCTTCTGCGTGCCAGGCTGCCTGGTATTGGGCTTCTTTGGGCCATTTATGACTTTCTTCTTTTCTCATTCCCCCCCCCCCCCCACGAGTAAGTAGAAATAAGTGAAGACTTAGCTGTGAGCGTCTAGTATGCAGGTGTATGCTGAGTGGTATGAGGGTTCAACAGATACTCCAAACACTTGAAAATAAAGATTGTCCTGTAACAATTCCATTACAGGTTAGTGCAGTGGATCAAACCAGAAGTGAATCTCTCTGGCCAGAGCAAACCTTACTAGGAAAAATAACGTATCTAACTCAGGAATTGAGCTGAAAAAATCCTGGGAAATAAATACTTCTAAAATGAAAAGTCTCCTGTATGTGTACAAAACTATCTGGTTCTAGTAGTAGACATAGTCTCTCTAAAGCTTAATGTGATTCCTTTAAATATTTGAATCATAAAACTGAACTTTTTATTCTGTTCCTTTACTCAATAAATACAGTTCTGAATTATTTTTTAAATTCCCATTTGGTTTTCCTACAAGGAGAGAATGCCCTGGCCAAATGAAATGAATGGCCATTTTCCTTGACAGTCATATTTTTCAGCACAAATTAAATACACTGGTATGTTGCTTTTTATGTAGCAGTTTCTAACGAACATGATTCAGTTTCTTTGGTCTTGTAACACAAAATCTAGACCCTGTTCGAATGCTACTCATTCTGAGGCCTCTTAGCCAGCCACGTTTCTAACAACCTTGTGTCACCCCATGTAGTTTCCAACAGGAGGGAATCTGCATATAGATGGAAAACCAAAACATTGGGAAGATCTGGGGATCTTTGTAATTTCTGTTTATTAGTAAAACCAGTAAAATGAGAAGATTCCACTCGAGCACAGCAAAATAGGCCAGACCAGAGAAGACTGCATTCTACCTTTGGGAAAAGAACCTGGGTGAGGGGAGAGTATGTTGTGTTTTTTTTTTTGAGATGGAGTTTCGCTCTTGTTACCCAGGCTGGAGTGTAATGGCGCGATCTCGGCTCACCGCAACCTCCGCCTCCTGGGTTCAGGCAATTCTCCTGCCTCAGCCTCCCGAGTAGCTGGGATTACAGGCACGCGCCACCATGCCCAGCTAATTTTTTGTATTTTGAATAGAGACGGGGTTTCACCGTGCTGACCAGGATGGTCTCGATCTCTTGACCTCGTGATCCATCCGCCTCGGCCTTCCAAAGTGCTGGGATTACAGGCGTGAGCCACCGCGCCTGGCTGGTGTTTTTTGAAAAGGAAAGTATAACAGATTTCTGTTTTGTTCCTGAAGAAAAGGAAAGCACCTGAAGCTGGCCTGGTCTGAAGAAGAATAACGGACTGTAAAATGTTTCCCAGTAGCTAACAGGTACTAATATACAGAGAAAAGGTCTAAGGAGAAATCTTGGAAATATGCCTGTCTGTAACGGGTTAAAAGAGGAAAAGAACAAGCTGGACAAGAAGAAGAACGCTTTAAGAATGAGTTAATGGCCAGGCGTGGTGGGTCACGCCTGTAATCCTAACACTTTTGGGAGGCCCAGACGGGCGGATCACGAGGTCAGGAAATCGAGACCATCATGGCCAACATGGTGAAACCTCGTCTTTACTAACGTTCTCTGCTTCATGGACGTTGCCTTGTTGCTTTGTCCTCACAAGGCGGAAGAGGCAAGGCAGTTCTCTTCAACATCTTTTATAAGGGCACTAGCCCCACTCATGTCTTAATCATTTCCCAAAAGGCTATCACATTGAGTTCCAACATACGAATTTTGGGGGAACATACACATTCAGACCATAGCAAGACCTAAGTCACACGAGAACATACAAGATGAAAAGTATAATGAGCTGAGAATGGGAAGGAGGGGAACACTAACATTAAAGGGTCTAAAAGGAAAAGAAATTGGTGAAAGGAATTGAGAAATAGGAAGAGAACTAGGAGAGTGTGCTTTACTGAAACCAGGAATATAGAGAGATGCAAAGAGAAACAGAGTCACCAGGCCAACAGAGATAGACTCAAATGCTTACGCAAGTAAGAGTTCATGAATGATTCTGGTAAAAGCAATTTTACTGGGATCGATGGGCTAAAAAGCCAAGCTACAGTGGATTGAGAAGTGAAGGAAGGAAATAGGAACAAAAAATGTAAGCCTACCTCAGAAAAGTACTCATATGGGAAAGGAACACACACACACACACACACACACACTACACTTAGTGTCTTGAACCAAAGTAACTATAGAGATATAGCCAACGATGTGTATGTATCTAACATTTTAAAAAGTTGAAGTACAAATGCTATTTCCTCACTATTATCATTTCCTCCCTATTATCAGATAGATGTTTAAAGCTGCAACTTTATGTTTAAAAAAAAAGAGTAAAGATTAATTGGGGTCTGTGTATGTAGTAGATGCTTATTAAATGTTTGCTGAATTGAACAATTGAGTTCTAAATGTAAGCTTTTAAAATTTTTTTCTGGCGGGGCACGGTGGCTCACGCCTACAATCCCAGCACTTTGGGAGGCCGAGGCAGGCGGATCACGAGGTCAAGAGATTGAGACCATCCTGGTCAACAAGATGAAACCGTCTGTACTAAAAATACAAAAATTAGCTGGGCATGGTGGCGCGCGTCTGTAGTCCCAGCTACTTGGGAGTCTGAGGCAGGAGAATCACTTGAACCCAGGAGGCGGAGATTGCGGTGAGCCGAGATCACACCATTGCACTCCAGCCTGGGTAACAAGAGTGAAACTCCGTCTAAAAAAAAAAAATTTCTATAATAAAATTAAAATTTTTATTTGTTATTGCTGTTACTGGTTTTTAGCCTTTAAAATTAGCATATATAGGCTGGGTGCGGTGGCTCACGCCTGTAATCCCAGGTCTTTGGGAGGCCAAGGTGGGCAGATCAGCTGAGGTCAGGAGTTTGAGACCAGCCTGGCCAAAATGGTGAAACCCCATCAAAAAGAATGAAGCATGTCTACTTATACCAATATAAAACAATATTAAAGGTATTGTAAATAAAAAGGTCAATGTTCAAATATTAATAAAGCATTCACATATTTTCATATGTATTTGTGTGTACACATTATTTCTAGCTGCCTATACATGTTCAGACTATTTTTGAAAGAGTACATCAAAACTGGTTATCTCTGAGGAAGAGGTGTCACAGTCTGGGATGGAAAGGGGGACTTTATCTTCCTGTGTATTTTTTTTTTTAAATTTTTTATTGCATTTTAGGTTTGGGGGTACATGTGCAGAACATGCAAGACAGTTGCATAGGTACATACATGGCAGTGTGTTTTGCTTCCTTTCTCCCCTTCACCCACATTTGGCATTTCTCCCCAGGCTATCCCTCCCCACCTCTCCCCCCCACTGGCCCTCCCCTTTTCCCCCCAATAGACCCCAGTGTTTAGTACTCCCCTCCCTGTGTCCATGTGTTCTCATTTTTCATCACCCGCCTATGAGTGAGAATATGCTGTGTTTCATTTTCTGTTCTTGTGTCAGTTTGCTGAGAATGATGTTCTCCAGATTCATCCATGTCCCTACAAACGACACAAACTCATCATTTCTGATTGCTGCATAATATTCCATAGTGTATATGTGCCACATTTTCCCAATCCAGTCTATCATCAATGGGCATTTGGGTTGGTTCCAAGTCTTTGCTATTGTAAACAGTGCTGCAATGAACATTCGTGTGCATGTGTCCTTATAGTAGAACGATTTATAGTCCTTTGGATATATACCCAGTAATGGGATTTCTGGGTCAAATGGAATTTCTATTTCTAAGGCCTTGAGGAAGCGCCATACTGTCTTCCACAATGGTTGAACTAATTTACACTCCCACCAACAGTGTAAAAGTGTTCCTTTTTCTCCACATCCTCTCCAGCATCTGTTGTCTCCAGATTTTTTAATGATTGCCATTCTAACTGGCGTGAGATGGTATCTCAATGTGGTTTTGATTTGCATCTCTCTGATGACCAGTGATGATGAGCATTTTTCATATGATTGTTGGCCTCATATATGTCTTCTTTTGTAAAGTGTCTGTTCATATCCTTTGCCCAATTTTGAATGGGCTTGTTTGTTTTTTTCCTGTAAATCTGTTTGAGTTCTTTGTAAATTCTGGATATTAGCCCTTTGTCAGATGGGTAAACTGCAAAAATTTTTTCCCATTCTGTTGGTTGTCGATTCACTCTAATGACTGTTTCTTTTGCTGTGCAGAAGCTGTGGAGTTTGATTAGGTCCCAGTTGTCTATTTTGGCCTTTGTTGCCAATGCTTTTGGTGTTTTGTTCGTGAAGTCCTTGCCTACTCCTATGTCTTGGATGGTTTTGCCTAGATTTTCCTCTAGGGTTTTTATGGTGCCAGGTCTTATGTTTAAGTCTTTAATCCATCTGGAGTTAATTTTGGTGTAAGGTGTCAGGAAGGGGTCCAGTTTCTGCTTTCTGCACATGGCTAGCCAGTTTTCCCAACACCATTTGTTGAACAGGGAATCCTTTCCCCATTGCTTGTTTTTGTCAGGTTTATCAAAGATTGTATGGTTGTAGATATGTTGTGTTGCCTCCGGTGCCTCTCTTCTGTTCCATTGGTCTAGATCTCTGTTTTGGTACCAGTACCATGCTGTTTTAATTACTGTAGCCTTGTAGTATAGTTTGAAATCCGGCAGTGTGATGCCCCCCACTGTGTTCTTTTTGCTTAGAATTGACTTGGCTATGCGGGCTCTCTTTTGGTTCCATATGAAGTTCATGGTGGTTTTTTCCAGTTCTGTGAAGAAAGTCAATGGTAGCTTGATGGGGATAGCATTGATTCTGTAAATTACTTTGGGCAGTATAGCCATTTTTATGATATTAATTCTTCCTAACCATGAACATGGAATGTTTCTCCATCTGTTTGTGTCCTCTCTGATTTCGTTGAGCAGTGGTTTGTAGTTTTCCTTGAAGAGGTCCCTTACGTTCCTTGTGAGTTGTATTCCAAGGTATTTTATTCTTTTTGTAGCAATTGTGAATGGCAGTTCGTTCTTGATTTGGCTTTCTTTAAGTCTGTTATTGGTGTAGACGAATGCTTGTGATTTTTGCACATTGATTTTATATCCTGAGACTTTGCTGAAGTTGCTTATCAGTTTCAGGAGTTTTTGGGCTGAGGCGATGGGGTCTTCTAGGTATACTATCATGTCGTCTGCAAATAGAGACAATTTGGCTTCCACCTTTCCTATTTGAATACCCTTTATTTCTTTTTCTTGCCTGATTGCTCTGGCTAGAACTTCCAGTACTATATTGAATAAGAGTGGTGAAAGAGGGCATCCTTGTCTAGTGCCGGATTTCAAAGGGAATGCTTCCAGTTTTTGCCCATTAAGTATGATATTGGCTGTT